AAGTATGAAATAAGGAACATACGCTAATGTTGTATGTAGTTTTTCCTACTTTTTGGGTAGTCCTTTAATAAAATTTCTGGGATATATAAGTTTTAAACTTGGGTCAAAATATAAATACTCTACCTTAGATGATAAGAATTTTCCTTGAATATTAAGTTGTTCGCGAGGAAATTTGGCAACATTATAAAAAGATTATTATTTTCATGTTCATCCAATTGTCTAAATATCAATTAGTTTGATAGTAAAAATCTTTTGAGTATATAAAGAGAATTGAAACAAAATATAAATATYAACTGAAACAAGCAATGAAGAACTGCTTGATTCACTATAGTAAATGAACTTGAACCTTGTAAAGTTTCGCATAGATGCAGTATGGAAGATGATAAACTGCCTTCGGTGCTGGATTGAGAATATGCTGTTCTATTTGAGATGTAGCAGCTTCTAGATGCATATTGAACTTGGCTTACTACTGACTGTTTGAGCAATGAAGATGTCACGCCATTGCCAAATCCTATTTTGGCTAGTTTCATTATCACAACCCGAAACAATTCTAAAATTTATCTTTTAAGAGTAATAACACAAGGATCACTAAATGGACCAGCCCGCTCCGAAGTATCGACTGCCCTAACAGCAAACTGATATCGACTCCCAGACGAAAACTGTGTCAATGTACAAGCCATTGGTAGCGGCAAAGCTTTGACGACTCCAATTTTCTTCCAAAGAATTGGAGGCAAAGTGGAGTTACTGTCATCCTGACAGGCAAACAATTCGTAGCATTCAATATTATCGATGCTTTCACCTGTAGTGATATTCCACGAAAGGACAATACCGTTCTCTACGATTGCTATTGAAGCGGTTGGTTTTGGCGGTGACTGCTGATGAGGAAGAGAATCTCTTTTACCATTTGCAGGAGATGTTTGGATCTTCTCCGGGGGCGTTTCTCCTTGAGCTCTTCTTTCTTGAATGCGTTGTTGCTCACGCGCTTGTACATATGTTGCTCCCCCCTGATTCGATGGCCTTGGCATTTGCTGCTCTGTCATCGGCCTTGGAATGCCTTGATCGTTAATTTGTGCCTGCCGACCTTGTTGCACATATGCTGGCCTTGGCTGGAATCGGTCGTACCCATGAGGTGGCATCGGTGCTGTTGTTCGGACGGTCGAACCTTCTAGCGCACCTGGTTGATAAACAACATCGGGCAGAGGTTGCCTAGATCGTATGGGTCCTCCGATGGGCACATCCGAATTTCCCGTTGCTCTTTGAGGAGGAATAGAATTAGTGACGAACCCCTGAGGTAGAACCGTTGGCCTGGGTTGATAGCCAGTAGGCAGGTTTGCCCGTGGAGGCACCTGTTGCAACGTTTGTGGTGCATAATATACAGGAGCTTGTGTACGAGGAACATTTTGCTGCTGTGGTAGTGTGGGTCGGTGTTGTAGTTGTTGTGGTTGTTGGTATTGGTAAGTTGCATGTTGGTACTGGTGAGGATGTTGAGGGTTTTGTGCTGGTGGATTTTGGTTGACAATGATGTGCTGTTGTGGTTGTTGTTGGGTCTGATACGGTTGTGGGTGCTGGGTCCTTACGTCCTGTATACCAATAAGAGGCGGACGAGGTCCAATGGCTTTGCTTCCGGCTGTACTGACCGCGTTACCCTGTTGCTGCTGATGTACTCCTAGAGGACCCGGTGGTAAAGCCTGCTGATGAGGAACGGGCTGGCGAGGCTGCATCGAGCCCTCATGAAGTACGAGCCTAGGTGATCGCTCATGCACTAGTTGGGGAGGCCCCTCTTGAATAATGTACCTAGGTGGTTGTTTAGGGTCATACCCAACAGCTGTTGGTGTTWTATCTGTTGGGCGCATTGGCTGTTCTCGAACCATCTGTGGCTGGCCTCGAGCTTCTAATACATATCTCTGAGGCTGTCGAGGATCATTTACCATTTGAACACGTGACCTATCCTCTCGCATTACGTAACGTACATTTTGCTGAGGCTCACAAGAACGTAAAGGAGGAATATAATCGCGAGGGACTGTGTTGACACGTGTAGTTTTATATGTCCGTAATACAGCTTGCTGATTGGATGGTAGCTGTTCATTGACACCATGAGGATTTTGCTGCTGTGAGGTTGTCTTGACTTCACTCCTTTGCCTATAAGGAGGCGGAGGTCCTTCTTTAGGTACTGATTGATTGTCGACTCGATTTATCCGCACTTGAACCTGCTTATCGTTGCTGTTTTGTACACAGGGACCGGAGATCTCGACTTGACTTCCAACTTTGTCATTCCTTAAAATCTTTTTAGTTTGCTCCTTAGGAGATGAAATGGTCGTTTGAGAAACTATTACAATGTCCGGGTCCTCGTTGTTCGCAGATTCTTTTCTCTGGTGACTACTTTCAATTCTTTCAGTTGAGATGTATCGTGACTCGGAAGGTTCTCTAGTCAACGTACTTTGTTGGCTGCTGGGTGATGCCCTGGATACCGACGGCACTGTAGATGTACTCGACGTTTGAGACTTTCCTTCGAGGTCATTAACTCTAGTAGTTTTCGTATTTATCAAAGATGGCGGTGCGGAAAGATTCCTTTTTTCTTGTGGCATTGCTTTGGACAATGGTGATGATCGTGCTGGCACAGTTGCTATACTTGAAGCCTGAGATCTTCTGTCGATGTCATCAACTGTTGGCTTTTTCGTGGCTATGGAGGAAGCCGGTGAAGAAAGATTTCGTTCTTCTCGTGTAACGTCCTGTAAGAAGGACGTCGATGGTGACTGGCTCTTTCTTGAAGTAGAATTAGATGAAACAGCTAAAGGATTTGAAATTGAATTACTCAAAAGGCTTTTGGATATAGGCGAACTTTCAGATATTGCAGTATCCATTTTCTGAGCTCTAGGCGAAGCAGGAGATGGAGAAGGTCTTGTGGCAACCTGCACGTGGGAAGGCTCATTTACCAAACTATTTCCAAGACGCTGGCTTGAGGATCTGTTCTGTGGCTCAAGCCCTGCAGGAGTAATGCGAAAATGTCCCGTCTCGATCGTGTCTTCCTTAGCACTCTGTTGCTGAGCAGTTCGTTTGTATCTTGGACTTAACCTGAAGTGTCCCATTCCAGGCTGTAGCTTTTTGTGAGAGCAAGTGTCTTGTTGTTCTTGTTGTTGGGAATTAGAAACTTTTCTCACCGGTTCCTGATTCTGAGATATTGAAATTACTTCAGATCCTAAAGACGACTTATTTTTACCAGATTGGGAATTGGTGAGACGATTTTCGTCGAGTTTAGACACAGTCGACGAAGAAGTTGAAGAAGTCTTACTAACAATTGTCTCTGAATGGAAAGATTTCCTGGACATGCTCGTTAATGAACGTGAAGTATTTTTTCCTTTCGGGATTACCGAGTTTGATTTCGGTTGCGGTGAGCCAGTTGTATCCTTTGCTTCCTCCAGAACATCTATTTCTACCGTGGATGACTTCGAAGTGGAAGAGGATGTCCGACTCAGGTGCTAAATGAAAAAAAAAAAAAAAAAGATTTCAGAAATATTTAAAAAAAAACACCACCAATTTAGCAAATTTGGTCAGTTGGTCAGTCGGTCGCGGTCTGATCAAGCGGCCAGTCTTGCTGCCGTATGATTAAAAAACTCTATTAAACCTTTCCCTAGATAGTGAACATGGGGTTTAGTATATGGTTTCAATATGGTGTTGGTTGTACCCAAGCTACACCAGAATGCATCCTGTCAGTTTATGGAACCACACAACATGCCTATGAAAAAGAATTAAAACAACAAACTTACGAGATTCATGTTGACTTGAGTTCCACGAGAAATTAGCGACTGACGTGCCTAAAAAATCATCATAATTGTAAGGAGCGTGGATTTTTCTCCAGGGAAAAAAACTGAGAAACTTTCAAAACTACTCAATACCTGCCAAGTTTAAGCTGATGTTACACGGGACGTTTTAGCAACGACGATTTTTCGCGTTTTTAATACATGTTACACGAATAAACTTTTCGCGCAGCGTTCGTTCGAAACGATTCGAAAGCCGCCATCTTGTTGTTGACATCGCCTCGTTTCTATGACAGTATTGAACTGCATTTTGGGTATGCGTTGCACGAAAAATCGTTGTTGAAGCTGTTACACGAATCAATCGCCATTCTGCGCTGTAAGTTTTTGAGGCTGAATCAAAAACTACGCGTTGCCAAATCCGAAAATCGTTGTACGTGGCATGTTACACGGCATCAATTTTTTCGCGCAACGGCGTATCGCGAAAAATCGTGGTTGCGAATCGTCCAGTGTAACATCAGCTTTAGACGTCACAGGCTGTTTTTATTTAATTTTTGTTGTTGTTGTTGTTGTTTTTTCACTAACCTCCCGTCTTTTCCGTGTTATTTCTTTTAATGTATAGTCCAAGCGGTAACCGACTCTTTGGAGAAGTGTATTCTGTTTCTCCAGCTGTAAAACTCTCTCCTCGAGCTTCTTATTCTCTCGTAGCAGAGCACTTTCAAAATATTCTGTACGATTTTTGACCACGTCTTTAATAAGCTGAAATCAAAAACGTATTTAGATTATAGCTTTCACACTTCAGAAAATGCCTCATTTTCTTGAGTATTTTTTCTTTCTTTCCCTAAAAGCTAAAAAAAAAAACCTGCCTGACCCTACAATGCTCACTTGTCCTACGACAATGCACATGCGCAGGCCAACCTTTTCTGGTATCTCCTAGAGCATGCGCAGTACGAACTACAACAAAGGCTCTAGGGTAGAGAACCATGCAATAAGACAAAAGCCAAATTCTTAATTCCTGAGGATAAGCAAGAAACATTGTAAGATAGACATGCTAGCTTTATTCTTTGATAAGATAATTCCACTGGGTACCTGGTATATGGCATTTGTCATGTAGTCTTCATCTTCGTCTGTTTCATCTTCACCACTTAGAGTCTCTACTTGCTCACCAAGGTCGTTATTATCCACAGACGTTTCTTGTTCTAAGAAAATAATAATTATAAATGAAAAAACAACACCATCAATAGCCTTTTTGCGCATTACAGAGAGGTCCAAAAACCGAACTCTGAGGCACTCCATAAATGTTTTTTTWAAAATATTTAATTATTTACCAATAATTAATAACAGTTTTTAGTGCCTGTGAGAGTTTGCGTAACGGCACGGACAAGATTAGATATTGTTTAAAAAACTTTTAAAGCGCATGCGCCACGTGAAGGTTTTTACATTACGGGCATAAACAAATTCCTCCATTACCACTGATACCTAAATCTCCTGGGTTTCTACTATTTCCTTCCTCCAACACTTCCGTTACTATGACGACCAGTTTATCATCAGTCACAAGTTTATCTTGCTTCGGTTCGGTTTGTGCACCAGATTTTGCATAGTTTTGAGCTGCTTTGATGACCTCATCTCCTTTGCTCTGGGTTGCTTTGGAAACAGAAGGTTCCTTACTGTTTGACACCTCACTTGGTGCCAACTTGCTTTCTTCTTTATCATCGTACTCTCCACTATGTTTTTCAATACTGTGTTCTCCCGACGAAACACAGTCAGCGTCCTTCTTTCCAATAGGCTCACAAATAATTTGCGTTTCCTTGGCAACGGGTTCAGGGTTTACCCTTGCTACCTTGACAACGTATGGCTGTTGTTCTTCCTTCTCGTCATTTTCTCTCTTTCGTTTTTGTTGTCGTTCATCCAATGTATCATCTGATAACGCTTTATTTTCGATGCTTGCACTTTTGTCTTGTTCTGTTTGGCTTTCTTTAGCTTCTTTCTCTGGGGCATGTGAAGTCGGAAGTAAACTGTCCTTCACTTTGTCTTCAGCAAGTTTCTTGATTTTTCGTAGTCTTTCTAGTACATCTTCTTTTAGCTTAATTTTGTTAAGAACAACTCTTGGAGATCGAGAAGGCACCGGCAGAACACCTGAAACATTTTTTAAACATTGGATGAAATATTTCAAATAAATCATTACAAAACAAGACAAAGTAAATTATTCAACATGGCGGCGAATTTTTCGCTATAATTTATTCAAAATGGCGGCTTCTAAAAACAATACATTTAAAATGACTGCTTTTAAAAATGGTGTATTCGAAGAAGCAAGATATATTTTTGTTGCCGTTTATGGCTTCCAAAGAAACGCTAGCACAAGTCCGGTATTTGCCATTTAAGACCAACTGTCTCCTCTTCTTTTGTAACAATTCCTCGTTACCATGGTAATGGTAATGGAACGAAGAGACTTGTTCTCAAGAGAATGACATGTGGTCTGAAATGGAGAATATTTCTTTCAGGAACAGATTAGGTATTTCAAGAATCAAGATTTTACCATCTCCTTTGTCGCCTTCAATTTTCCTGAAAACAAAGAAAAAGATAATTCATTCGATTCAATTCTCCTCGTGTTCTCAACTCGGACAGCTTCAGACAAGGCTTGCACTTTGACTTTCCCCATGCAAACTTAACTAGACTGTCTGTTTTCTAATCACTGAATCTAAAAAACCTAGACTTCTACAAGTTGGTTTCTGATTAGTTCAAATTCAGTTTCTTGACCATGCTTGTAAATAGCCAACTGGTTTGCCTCCTTGCCAGTTAGGATTCTTAAGACACTTTATGTTTCTTTGATTATTTCTCCATTTCAGTTTATTAATTTGTGGACTACACTGTAAATTAGCAGTCAGCTAAGTGTACTTTCCACGTTGAATTTTATTATTATTTTTTAATCACATTTTGCAGCATTTTACTCGCTCTCTGATTTCAAATTTCAGATCTCCAACCGACAACGTTTTTTGAAATAGATCAGTATGTCGGCTTCATACCTGCGCTTCTCCGGTCTTTCCCTGTCTTCCATGGCATGCTCTAGTAACCTGTAATACCAATAATCAAAGATGTGGTCTTAGAATAAAATTGTCGGCAATTTCGAATGTTGTTCCCTCTAGGTGCTTTGCAGGTGCAATACGTAATATATACGTATATATAACCACTATATAGTGGCCGTGTTGTATATGATATATAAACTCAAAGCGTAGCCGAATGTTTATATATCGCATACAACACAGACACGAATATTGTATATTGCTTATCAAACGTCTAGGTTAGTTCCTTTGTGTTTCACTAAAATTTTCAAGATAAAAGTGAATCTGCCCAAGAAAATCCAAGTTAAAGTTTATGCAAATGAACACGATTCTGAATCTGATTTACAAAACTCTTCACGGTCTCGTGATTTCTATTGTGTTTTCCTCATGAATTATTACTGAGTTTGATAAATATCGTATACAACACAAACACGAATATTGTATATTGCTTAACAAGCGTCTAGGTTAGTTCCTTTATGTTTCACTAAAATTTTCAAAATAAAAGTGAATCTGCCCAAGAAAATCCATCTTAAAGTTTATGCAAATGAACATGATTTTATATCGGAATCTTAAAACTCTTCATTTGTATTCAGTTTTTCTCACGAATTATTAATGAGTTTTTTAATGTAGTTTTTAGTTATCCGTTGCTCGGGGATATCGTCTCTTTTAAATATTCAATTTGGTTGCAGTGAAGGTTGTTTACGTGAATTTATTTATTCTCAAATACAATCAGTATATGAAAGGAAGCACAATTGTGAAATTGAACACAATTGAACACTTATACAAACACTTCGAAATCCAACATGGACCTTCACTGGAACTCATGAATATTCTACTGAAAATCAACGCTAATCCAGAGAGACAGAGAATGCAGAAACCATAGTATTTGTCTCACACAGAAATTCCATACAATGGAGGTCAAATATTACATTGTGTTAGCATCTTTGCCTGTTTAGAAAATAATAATACGAAGCGAACGCCGGGTACATTGTTTCAAATGTTATACTATGGGGTTTATTTGTTTAGTTATTAAGATTCGATGTATAGAATATGGTTGTTTTCTTACTTTGCGATTAAGCACGTTCACTCTCCCACACTACAAGTTTCATTCATTGATCAAGGTTCACCAAAATAGTAAAGCGGAATGATCCCATAAGAAACGAAGTTCATCTTTCTTGAATAAACGTAAGTCTATTTTCAAAAACTTCGTTCGACCACAATAGATAAATATTCAATGGCCATGGTACAATCGCGTATGAAAAATTAATGTACATGTACCAAACACACTTAAAATCTTAAGTACGACTGACAGCCACCTGTAAAAGATAATTCATTCACGTTCCAATCAATCTAAGATGAATCTCTTTAACGTTACCTTCTTTGTTCGTCGGACGTCACCCGAAAACAATCCTCTATCTTTAATCTTAATTTTTACAGCAATCAATTTCGAACTGCGGGAATTCCGCCCTGGTTTCTATTCACCTTTTCAAAACAAACTTTACATCTGCGCATGCGCCGACCTACATTCCTTATTTGGTCTTGTTTCCTTGACCTTATAAGGTCTAAATTAATTTCCTCTAAAAAGAAGAAAAGATTTCCCGCCTAAAATAATATTGTTGAACAACCGCTTCGCTGAGGATTAATATTGACGTTATTATTAAGTTTGATTTTGAGATATACTAGATTATTATTATTATTATCRTTATTATTAATTTATACGCATGAAAATACTCTTAAGATGTAAATTTCAATTGAAGATTCTTGATTAGTGAAGACCTCAGACGAGGAATTCATATGGCAAGAGACGTTTTAAGGATGGCTTTCAAGCACTCTTGAAGTTCTCAGCACACATCTGTTTAAAAAAACTCTTAATGTCCCTGAAACAATAATTTCTGGGCTAAAGTAACTTACAGATCAAATCCTGAAACAACTTCTGGGCTGATCTAAGTCAGGGTCCACGCTAACTCACAGATCAAACCCTGAAACACCCTCTGGGCTGATCTAAGTCAGGGCACGGCTAACTCACAGATCAAACCTTGAAACAACCTCTGGGCTGATCTACGTCAGGGCAAGGCTAACTCACATATCAAACCCTGAAACAACTTCTGGTCTGATCTAAGTCAGGCATGACTAACTCACAGATCAAACCCTGAAACAACCTCCGTTGTTTAGATTAAATTTATGCTAATTATTGAACATTGATTGTGTGACTTATGTCACGTGGACTTTTATCACGTGTTATGATAACATTGATTTATGTAAATGAGTATCAAGAC